TCACTTCCTTACTTGCCTGGACAACAACAAAAACAGAAAATCCTAGTGAATATCTTCTTTTTAAAAATTTTAGAAATATCTTCTTAATAGTAAGTATAAAAGCCCATTTCTCTTTGACTAATAAGCATGTACATCATTAAAAAACCCAGCTATAATTCTGTGTTTTGTTAATTGCTGCTTTTCCTTTTCATTTGTCCTGGACACTTTACTCAAGGGCCTGTTCCTTAGTACACTTCAGTCCCTATCCACAAATACAAAGGTTTTGATTTTCTACGGCTTTTCCCATTTTTATGAATCCTGAGGATTGCCATTTAGAAATCATTTGCTTAAAGAGAAGAACTTCATTTGCACTGCCAGGCTATGACAATCTTCCTACACAACTGGTTGCTCAAGTTTGTCCCAGTGAGAATCAAGGTTTGGGGGAAGTTTGCTTAGGTCAGAAGAAAATAAGAAAAAACTAGCTTTGCCTGTAGTGTGCCACACTCGGAATCCAGCACCCCTGCCCCGTGATTTTCTCCTTGAAGAATCCTTAGGGGGCAAGTTTTCTGCCATGTCCTTAGTCTCACAAACAGAGGCCAAGAAATACAGAAAGGTTTCATAATAGTCGAAAAGGGGCAGGAAAAAAAAAGATTCTAAGTCCAGTAATTGTGTCTGGATTAACACTGATGCATACCAGCTGTGAAAAATATTTCCTACTTTGCAATCAGAGTCCAGCAGTTCAATATAAATGCACTAATCCTTGTAATTTTCTTGTAAGGCAAGCCATAGAGTACTTATTCCTTCATGGCAAAAGGAAGTAAAGTCTTGCCAAGTTCACAAAACTCAACAGACATTTAGAGCAAGTGAATCTTATTTCTTATATTCTCCTTTATGTCTTTACTCTTTTCTAAATAATTAAAATTGGTAACAATTTCTATTAGTTGTAGACCTTACATAGCTCCATTTCCAATAATATCGACAACAGTAATCTCTACTTATTGAGCACTTACTAGGTGCCAAGTACTGTGTTAAGCCCTTATACATATTTCCTTAACCCTTACAATCTCATTAGGAAAGAAACAGCACAATTATCTCCATTTTATAGCTGAGAGAGCTGATGTTTAGAAGAGGAAAGTAAGGGCCTGGGATTTAGCTCAGTAGCACTCCACCTGCCCAGCAAGTGCAAGGTCCTGAGTTTGATGCCTGGTACTGCAAAAAAAAAGAAGAGAAAAGTAACCTGACCAAGACAGGCATGTAGCAAGTCTTAATTTCAAAGCCACATTGGCTCTCACATGAGTCAAGCCCTGACCTACACATCACATGCCATTAAAAGCATGAAAATCAAAGTAATACCCATGTGGATATTGTTTTTAGCTGCTTTTCCAAGAAGGCAAGCAAAAAAACATGAATAACACTTTCACTCTAACTCGCTATAATTTAAAAGTGTGCTAAATTTAATCAAATCCAGGCACTTTCTTCAAAAGCCATGAAGTAAACAAATAAAAATCCATCAAGGAGCAAGAAGTGGATACAGGTGCTGGAGTTGAAACAAGGACCGCCTCTTACATACATTAAAGAATAAACAAAGTGCTGCCAGAAAAGCAGTACAAATGTCAAATGTATTGACTCTAATGAATTCAACATTGAACGAGGTAGAAGTTGTGTTAAATGGAGTAAAACGGTATTGGTCTGGTGCAATCATACATAAATAAGTATGATTAGCATGTAATACAACTATTTTTTTTTTGGTGCCGGGGATCAAACTTGGGTCCTTGCGCTTGCGAGGCAGGTGGTGGAACCACTGAGCTAAATCCCCGTTCCTACAACCAACTGTAATACATGAGGCAACAGAGGCATTTTCTCCAGGTATCAGCAACCCTAGTGGAAATTGTCATTTTACCTGTACATCCCTATTTTGGTATACCTCTTCTGCACTGCTGCTTGTACTACCACCCTCTTCCAAGATCACCCTGGGGTTACCTCAGATTCTTCCTTCTTCCTCAACAGTCAGACCTCATGAGTCACGTGTCCTCATAACCCTTCCTCTACATTTATCTAGATATCTGACACAGCCCCAACTTTAGCCACCAACTGTTGTCCAGCCTCATGCTCAGTCTTCAAAGCAATTTCCTCACCTGATCTTTCCCCTGTCCCACAGCCAAAGCAATTGATCTATATCATACCTATCAGAAGGTTATTTCTACATTCATGAACAGGGCCTGCCGGTTAGCCCATCTCATTCCAGGTTCTTATCTCTTCCCTTTCACAGGCTTAATTTTCTCCTTATCTTGACTATCCAGTCAAACTTCTTTTCCTTTTCCCTGACCAATCTTGTATGTCTGACATACAGGAACATACACCTGAATTTATCATTTAGATAAACTAATAGCTGTCTGCCTATATTTGCATATGTTCATGCTATGTACTATTTAAAAATTCATAGTCTCATGATTCAATTGTTTTCCAGAGGTCCAGCAGATGACTTTAATTTTTTTGTCTTGGTTTTTGTTATTTCATTTCTAGCAAAATTGTATTTACAAGAAAAATTTCCTTTACTTTTTTATAGTAAAGTAAATGATAGAATTTCATTAGAATTGAGGGTTTAAATGAAATTAATTCCTTATCCTCATTTTACCTAGGGGGAGCTAGCATCCTAGACAAGTTAGGGGATTTGTTCTCAATCACCACAGATGATACCTTCAGGCTTTTGATCATTACCCAAGTTTTGTGGGTTTTTTGCTTTAACTCTTTTATTGGTACATTTCAGGTATACAATACATTTACATTTATCATTGGGTGCTTGTACCTGTAACCTGTACATGATGTATCTTGGTTCTTATTTTTTCCCCATTACCTGTGTGCCTTCCCCCCCAACACCCTTCCCTATTTACATAGACTTTGTTTCCATTTTTTTTGTTTTTTCATAATTTTTCCTTTCTCTTCTTTCCTTTCCCCTTCCCCTCCCACTTTCCCTTCCCCTTTGGACATTTTCTTCCTATTTAAAATTATCAATTATTCATTTTAATCCTTATTTATACTTTCAGTTTCTCACACTAGAGAAACTATTTGGTATTTACACATGTGTGTCCTATTTATTTCACTTAAGAGTATGGCCTCAATATGCATCCATTTAGCTATAAACGTTTCTAGTTTCTCGTTCTTTATGGCTGAGTAGTAATCCATTTTATAAAAAAAAAAAAAACCACATCTTCTTTATCCAGTTTCCAGTTGATGGGCACTTGGGCTGTTTCCAAGCTTTAGCTATTGAACTGTGCAGCTATAAACATGGGCATCACCCAACTTTTAAATGACTCACTCAACTTTACTTAACCTGATTAATGCAGGGAGTGGGGAGGCATACATCAGCATGGCCCATAGCACGGTGGGTCAAGGAAATGTTGGGCTGCTAATTGAAGCAAGTTCTTTATTGAAGAACTTTTTATATATCAATGTATACTATGACTTTCGAGAAGGACAATGGGAGGAATAAGAATACGCAATGCAGTGTTTCCCAAATTTGCTTATAATGGAATTCTTTGTTCAAAAAAACACCTGGTGCTACAGTTGTACAGAACATAGTTGTAAAAGGTTATTAGGATTTGGGGCCAGGGATTTAGCTCAGTGGTTCCAGTGCTTGCCTTGCAAGCACAAGGTCCCAAGTTTGATCCCTGGTACCAAAAAAAGGTTATTAGGGTTTAATGCATCACTGCTGATGAAGTCTGAGTAATAGGCACAAACCTGACAGGGGAAAAATGCTGAGAGACACTTTTTACCTTCCTTAAATATACATATCACCACAAACAACAGGTAATGTTTTTGGAGCACTTGACAATTTAAAAAAATATTTTAACATATAGTAACAAGCAAGAAAGTGTTAACTCTCCATTTTAAAATGTCTTTGTCACTACTAAAAGTGAATAACAGTGTCTTTTCCTAATTCACACACACACAAAAACCAGAAAGCATTACAAGGAAATGAATTCTTCGCATAGCCAGTGAGCTTGGGAAGACTCTCAGCCCCAAATGTGAACTGATGCTTTGGTTTTAGTCCCATGGAAACCTGAGCAGAGAACACAGCCATGACACTGACATGCCTATAGAAAAGGAGATGATAGAGAGGTATTGTTTAAAGCCAGTACACCTGTGGTAACTTGTTATGCTACAGTAGAAAATTAATATAGATATTTGCTAGGTTCAAAAGTCAGCAAAGGACACAATGAGGGCCATGCACATTATTTGGTAGAAATGTTGGTTGCTAATCCTTCTTAGAGGAAAATGAAACATTAAGTATCAAGGACTCAGTCACTACACATCTATAAATTTACTGTAAAAGAAATAATTAGAAATGCACATGAATGATTTTGGAGGTTTGGAAAAATACAGACATTGAAGATCTAGCACAGATGAATTGGGGTAAAGATAGCATTGGCTATCAGAGAGCAAGGGGAGCAACTGTGGATTTGGATTTAATGTTGGTTCTCGAAACACTTCCTGGGCCTAGCAGGCAGCATCTGTCTTCTCTACCTTTATGAAACTATACAGAAAGCTTGCATTTTTTTATTTGCTGAAGTTTGATTTCATCCTAGTTAGCTGGAAAGATCAGCAGTGTTGAAGTCATCCACAGCTGAAGCTGGTGAGCTGACTGTTCCTACCTCTGACACCGTAAGACTTTTCTTAATTAGGTCCTGAGACTCTCAGACTCATGTATTTCCCTTGATGATCTAATCATTTGTACTGAGATTCCCACTGCCAGTTTCTTCAGCCTGGATTCTGGCAGTTTATAGATCTGAATCCCAAGTTCTGAGCATATAATTTAAAATATTTACTATAAAAAATAAAGAGAAACTGAGCTCTGGGTGGGAGTCGCTGCTCAAAGTACTCGCAATGACCGGGCTGGGCCAGGGATGGACAGCCTCGGTGCCTGCTCGGTCTAGGAAGCCGATGACGCCAAACTTCTAGGGAGGGAGCGCCACGGTGGGCCACGTGCGGGGCTCTCTGGAAGTAGGTATTGTTAGGTCATGTTAGGTCCCTTGTGACGACGCGGTAACCAGTCGCAATAAAAGTTAAGGGGGAGGTTTTCTTGCCTCCGGCGGCAGTGCACCGGGGGCGTTCAGGGTTCTGTACGGGGCTCTGGCCTTAGGAGACGCGGGTGAGTGACTGAATGGCGGGAACACGGCCGGTAAGGGTGATGGGACAGAAGGGGATAGTGGGTCAGGGTGATTGGTTGAGCTAAATGCTGGTTTTCTAAGTTAAGTCTGTATTTTTATGAAATGGCATCACCTGGTTACAGTTAAGTTAAATTTTTCTTTCCCTAGTTAGGTTTTATCTCCTAAATGCTGTGGCCTGTCTCCCTGGGAGGCGGGGTGGGGTGTGGGTACCGTTTGTGTTTTCATTTTCCTGGGAAGAAACGGACTGACGTTAAGTTACCCTTGTGTGTATTGTCTTCAGCTCTGACAGATTGAGCGTGGCATTCGTCTTCCATGGATGTAAAATAAAGATAGCATTGTAAAAAATAAAAAAATAAAATAAAGAGAAACTAATCTGGCCACCCTATAAAATAAACTAGCTTCTGTTTTCCCAATCTGCTACTTTCCAAATTCATTCAGAGACTAGAAGGCTGGCCCTGACTTTTGTGACTAGCACCTTGGCAGCTCCAATTCCTGGCTGGAACGAGAAATGCCAAACCCTAGCTCGACCTTCATTCAACAACTGTGAGGACAGTTCTAAGACAGCTCTCACTGGGGCGGGCTGGACCTGGCCTTCCACCTATACCTTCCTCGAGCAACTCAATAAATTTTCATTGAGGACGTGCTAATGCTAAGGCTAAAAGATAAGAGCTGGTCCCTTCAGCCAGGAGGCTTACAACCTAGGTGAAGCAACCAACTACATACAACTACCATGTAACAGAGTAAAAACATCATATGTGCTAATAAATAAAGATTCTGGTAATGTGCAACAATATTTGTTTGGATATAGAAAGTAAACTCTGGTACAGCACTTCAGAATTCAGTATTACTACTAGATCATAGTAATATAAAGCAATAAAGATCATAATAGCAGCAGCTACCTTTCGTTGAGCAAGTTCTACATGTCACATTTAGAGCTTTTTCAGACATCTAATACTCATGAGTTTCTGGATTAGGTGTGATTTTCATTATTCTCAGTTTACAGGTGAGAAAAACTGAGGCTTGGGAAGACGAAGTAAATTACCGACGACTCCTGAGCTAGTTAACAGGGGATCCAGGACTCCTTCCAGCCTCAGCTCTGAACTGCTCACTAGGCATAACACATTCCACTATTACGAAAACTCGAAGAAATACAGACCCTTCCAGAACTTTTCCCTTCAGAAAGAGCTCCTTGGAACAATACACTTCAGCTTCACTGGGAAAATTTAAGTGCATATTCAAGGCGATTCATCAGCAATAGCAAATGGCTTATTCCAGTCCAGACTGTTTCAATTTTCAAGAACCAAATAAACGTTTAGTCATGGAGTCATAGAATAATAAAATAAAATTGAAAATGAAACCTTGGGGAAATAATATGAATCACACCTTACAACTATAAAAATCCAAAAATTATTCCTCTTCATGTTCAAAGGTAACTATTGGTTAACTAAGAATGAGACATGATGTTCACTACCTTTATTTCCAAAGCAATGACTAATTTTGCAGTCCAAATAGAAAAGACACTTTGTAGGGCTGGGGATTTAGCTCAGTGGTTCTGCCGTCTGCCTCGCAAGTGGAAGGTCCCAAGTTCGATCCCCAGTACCAAAAAAAAAAAAAAAGAAAAGACACTTTGTGCTACCTTCATTCCTTTTTCTTATTTTTAAAAAAGAAAGAGAAGAGGGGGAGAAATGTTGCCTGCCTTTGTGCTTAAGGAAATAAAATGCAATATGTTTAAATTGCAATGCAGAATCTAGGTGTGTTTTTACTAGCATTATTTCAATTTTCTCCAAAAACATCTGTAAAATAAATTACCAATGAAAAAACTGCACAGAAAATTTTACAGTCAGACAATACAAAGCAACAGATTTATCAACTGCGCTTCTCCTAGCTTCCTCAGCCTCTCCTTAGATGTTCTTCATTATCTACAACGGAGAAAAAAGGGGAAAGGAAATATCTCTTATCTTTCCTCAAAGATTTGTTTATCTCTTCAAACTCTGACTTTAGGGGGAAGATGGAAATAGAGAAACAGCAGTCCCTATGCTCCATCAAAGGCAATTAGCAATACTTCTTTGAATTTTAAAAACAAGGCTTTTGATTTCTCACAGGTTTCCATTCAGGTACTCTCCATTTCGATCTTTATTAAGTCAATCATTAGACAAATAAGTACTACGTACGAACAACCTATTTTGTGTAAAGCATTATCCTGGACAGAAAGGGGTACAAAACTAAATAAGAAATCTGTCCCTTAAAGAACCTTTAAACCTAGAATTCATAGGAAAGTGTTCGGAACCAGAACCAACAAAGTTAATGTGGGGGTAGAACAGGAATCTGGAGAAATTAGGGAAGGAAGAAACAATCACTTTTAAAATTTTATACACCAATTTTTCTTTAAAAGAAATGGGTATTACTTTTTTTTTTCAAAATTTAAACCTAGAGATAAGAATTTTAAAAACACAAATTAAGGGACCCAAGTAATGAGTCAGATGACCCAAAGCCTATCTGTAGGTCTGTAGGCAACTGCTTGTCATTTAAATTTGATTCCATTAACAAGAATGCAGGTGTTTACCAGACTGAGCTGTTTTCAAGAATTATGCACTATATTCAGTCCCAGCACATTTCAACTCTGAACCCAGGTGACTAAGATTGCATGGGAGTGGTCTCATAATAATTATTCTATAAAGCTCACTGACCTCCCACACTGACACTTGTTTAACCATATAATCAAAAAATTCCACCCAGTTCTGATATGTATATGGTTAGCTCCAAAATGTACACAATAACATATCTTTTTGATGAGCATAATTTCTTTTCTGATGCATCAGTTTTTCTTCAAATGGGCAATAATGATGAAGATGACTGGACAAGCAACTGCAGCAGAGCAGAAGAACCCTGAAGGTGATATCCTCCTTGTGTACAGCACCTTCAACTTCTGGAGAGCTCCCATTGCCAGCATCCACACCTTTGAAGTGGACTTGCTCTAAGGTCAAGATTTCTCTCTCCTGCCACCTTGCCCTCATTGCTTTCCCTTTCCAGCACCTTCCTTCCATCCCTTTACCATTTTACTCTTGTTCTCTTCCCTCTGTTGTGTTCATGGTGCTGATGAATCTGCTCGCTGAGTTGTATTTATTTATTTATTTATTTAATCTATCTATCTATTTATTTACTCCATTCCTCTCAAAAGCCCTCAAGCCACAAAATAGGGGCTCAAGCAATGGAGTATTGGATCACAGGGGCTCCACTGCACTCCCACCCTGGGATTATCAACTTCAGAAAGTAGTCCTTATGGGGGCTAGTATATAAGTCCTTAAGGAGTAGTATACAGTACAAAATGGAAGGCTGATTTTTAAAAATTCCATTTTAATCAGCTTCAAAGATTGCTCAAACCTTCCTAATTTTCTGCTCCAGGCAAGGAAACATAAATATTTCTTAAAGGGTTGGAAAAACCTTGCAAGTTTTAATTTGACATGACTTGCTACAAAACAAGATTTCTAAAAGGCTAAAACTCTTGCTTTTTCAACCCTGCTCCTTCTTGTAATTCATTCTTTTCCCCAGAGAAATTAGGGTACTGAAAGGTATAAAACAAGAGGAAACAATACCTCATGAAAAAGGAAAATAGGGGAAAGTACGAAATCATTTCAGAAATAGCTAAGCTTTTTCAGAAGAGTGTATCTTTAGCCTATTCACTTTACAACTTTGTTCCTAAATGGGCTGAAAACTTGCTGAGAAAAATCAGATTTCAAATCTTAAGAAATCTTGCTGACTGGTAGGATAAATTGTAAGGTTTTGATTAAATCTTCTAAAGGGGACAGGGTTTGGGCCTTAGTATTTTAATCTTGCCCTCTTGCGTTTGGAATATATAATACTGATCAGTGGACCTCAGGCCCAGTTCTTTAGCTACTTTAAGACTATGAAACAAACAATTACCTTTGACCCTACACCTTGTTCCCACTTCTTTGAAAATTATTGATGTGTGCCACCATTTACTTGTTTATTTAATAAAGAGACTCCCCCCCAAAATAAAAGCACTTCACAAAATGGACAGAACATACTTAAGTTTTATAAAATGGCAGGATCTTAAGTAGTAGAAAGAGCATTAGCCAGCTTAGGCAAGGACTTAGAGGTTACTAGGAAACAGACTAATGCTATTTGAAACAGCTCCACACTGGGAATAACCCAATTAATTGACTGTTAACAGGCAACTATGGAGAGTAGGATACTCATGAACAGAACAGAAAATATCAAGGAAAATGCAGAGGCTGCAACTGCATGGGTAAAGCTCACAGACATGATGTGGGTGTAAAACTAGCCATAAAGAATAGTACATATAAGGAATTCATGTATACATAGGTCAAACAAGCTAAATAAATCTATGGTGTCAGAAGATAAAACTGGTTATTTTGCAGGAAGCAGAGAAAAAGAGACTAGAAGGGGATCAATGAAGGTTTCTAGGGGTGATAATGTTCCACTTCTTGATTTTGGTACTGTGGTTAAATCTCCATGTCTACTTTAAGAAATACACTTGCTTCTATATTTTGTATGGTTTCTGTGTTTGTCCGTAGGTGTGTTATATGTTAATAATAATTTAAAGAGGAATATGTGTATAAAGAGTTAAGAATAATAATGATATTTCTGAAAAGAAGTTAGAACTTCTAAATGTCACTGTTGCAATGATGGATAAAAAAACAATGAACTAGCCAGGCATGGTGGTGCATGCCTATAATCCCAGCACTCAGGAGGTTAAGGCAGAAGGATCGCCTTGAGTTTGGGGCCAGCCTGGGCTACATAGCAAGACTCTGTCTTAAAAAACAAAACAAAACAACAATACAACAGCAACAACAGAACCCCAATGAACTAGAGTAGAGGACTCAGAAAAGATGCATGAATGAATGTGATCTTGTTAAAGCTTCCAGTAGAAAAGTGCAGGGCCAGGGATTTAGCTCTGCGGCATATTGCCTGCCTGGCAAGCATGAGGTCCTGAGTTCGATCCCCAGTACTAAAAAAAAACAAAAGAAAATATAAGTGCATATTTTAGACTTTATGTAGAAAAAAATTTTAAACAAAAAGCACTGATCATAAAGGAGAAGTTCAACAAATTTGCTTAGAAAATTAATACTTTTATGAAAAATAATCTTACTGGAAGACCTCAGCCGTCTGGAGCGGGGCTCTGTCCACCCTGTACCCCACTTCCCAACGACCAGCCAGCAGACTATGAGGGCCTCCACTGCATGAAGCAGGGCTCCATCCTGCCTGCACCGTGCACCCCAGTGACTTGCTTAGCCGCGCAGGCGCCTGCAGCCCCCCCGACCTGCCCCCTCTGGCCTCGCGGCTGTACTGGTACCTGGTTCGACACTACAGAGGCACTGGGGGTCATAAAGTCTATTGTCCTGAGCTCCAGATGGTAGAGCAGAAGTGAACAACAGAAAGAGGGCCTCTCTCACTCTCCTTGATGAAAATTGAAGGCCACTGAAAGAGTGAACAGAATCTCTGCAATGAAGACACACCAGACCACCATACTTGGTAAGCTGGAGGGATCATCACTTCTCATCCAAACCAGGACTATCTTCAGGGGAAGGGCGACTGGAAACTGCAGTAGAACCTTGCAGAGTTCAACCCTGCAGGAGGACAGGAAGCTCAGCTTGGGACTTACAGCCAGAAATCTGCCTGAATCTCACAAGGCTGCTTCTAGGTTGCTGAGACTCACTGACTTATATCTGCACACTGCTGCCCACGTTGTCTATTGTGACCACAGACACATACCCTGAAGGAGGCCCTTCATTTTTATTTTTTGTTACTTTAAAAATCATTTTCTTTGCTCTTATTTTTAATTTTTATTTTTTTCTATTTTCAAATTTTGCTTTTTTCTTTTCTCTCTCTCTGTCTGTCTCTCTGTCTCTCTGTCTCTCTCTCTCTCTCTCTCTCTCACTCTCTCCTTCTCTTGCTGTCCTGCACTGTTCTTCATCTCCCGTTTTGCTCCTCTTTTGGCCCTAATTTGGATTTCTTCTTTATTTTTCTTTTCTTCTCTTTTTCCTTCTCTTAACTGTCATTAGTTTTAAAGGAAAGTAAATACAGTTTCTAGCCTCCCTATTGCTTTTAGGTTGTTCTGTTCTCATCTCTGTTCTTTCACTCTGTCTTTTCCTCTTGTCTTCAACAGTTTCCTAGAGTTTGTGTGATCTTCCTGTGCCCTCTGGCCTCACTGCTAACCTTTCCCTACCCTTCCACCTATCTATCCCGCCCTCCCCAACTTCTTCTAACTCCCCATTGCCTAGGGTAAAGTTGCTATATTGAAGAGTTCATTCACTATAAACATATGTGGGTTGGTTCTCAATTTCAATTTAATTCACACAATTAAAGGTGATAGATTAATAACTACCACAAACTGTCATTTTCTAAGCTGTGCTTGATGCTATGGTGTTGCTGATTGTATCACTTGGGCTAAGGTGATGTGATTGATCTAATCAGTTGTCCTTCTCAGTATAATGAAAATGAGAGAGCCTCAGAGTCATTAGAGATTCAAAACCTAAAGACCAGATATATCTGGAAGACATCTCTGAGAAGCAATCATTCCATAAGGGTTCTAAATACAAGCAGCAAAGATACTTACAATAAGCAACT